TAGAAGATGAACCTAAATACATCACTCATCTGGATTTCTTGCCAAAACAAAACTGTATTTTTAGTTGCAAATTCTACGTTTAGCTAGAACTGTAAGGGCTATATATACATACAAAAAGATCCTCTATTTTTAAATAAGTAGTGTTGAATAAAGAAAGAAAAAACATATAGTATACCAACAGTATGTCCTCCTGCATGCCAGGAAGATTTCCTAACCATGGCTGAGACAACAAAGTCTCATTTATGCATCCTGAAAAATCCCTAATGATCTCTCCAGTCTAAATAATGGATTTTACTACAAAGTTTCTCTTTTTCTTTTTTTTTTTGGTCATGATTTTCTGTAACAAAACGCTTTTTCAGCTATTGTATCCTGAAGAGCTTCTGTGTATTTCAAAGGAGATTTTATTTCTCCAGGAGTTACTAGTTTCTTAATCTTGCTATTAACAATGGGCCTCTGTAATCTGTTTTGCTAGAATTTAGTATAGACAAGGAAAAAAAACTAGGCTTAGTTCCATCAATTTTGTTGATTTTTGGATTGTTCTTCTGTAATTTGTTTTCTGTTCCAATTACATTCTCCATATGGCACTGTGTTTCCTCTTGCCAGGTGTAACTGCTCTTTAATATTTTAATTAATAATCAGACTGAAGCAATTACGATTCACATCTGTTTTGTAGTTTTCGATCTCTGAATACTAGTGCAAGAAAGGTGACCCTGCATGTGCAGGAGGGTTGGACTAGATGACCTCTAGAGGTCCATGTTCGTGAGGCACTCCAGGGTGCTGCACGCCTATGCGTGAAGCAGCGGCTACGCTCCAAGTATGTTTATGAAGCGCTAGGGCTGCTTCCAGTGGTCTAATGGTATTGGCAGCAGTCAAGAGCATTAGTGCTTTCCCCCAGGAATTACTGAACTAACCTTGCAAAAACCCACCAGCTTTTCAATCCAACCTCTTAGTGCTGCCACATTCAGTCCATTTTTATAGGACAGTTGACAAATCTATGTATCCTGAGATTTCTGTTGCCTTTAAGTTGTCTCTTGTCATCAGTGTTCATCAGTGTGAATCAGTGTTCATTAGTGTGAATTAATTCTAACCCTCTTTCACCTGGCAGAAAAGTTTTATTTTCTTCCCTAACTTATTTCTGTCTAAAGAATACATACTTTATGCATCATAGTAAGATTATCTTAGGCTATAGAATTTTTTGTTTAAAATGAAAATCAGAGGTCCTACTAGGATGGGAACAGGAACTAGATAAGCAATTTGCCTTTCGCTTCGGTTTTGCCTGAAATGCTGTAATACTATTTGGCTACATAGTGAATCCAACTGGCGTTAGTTTTTATACAACTTTGCTAAATGGTTATAAATAAAGGATTAAATGAAGAGATAGCTTTGTTTTTGCACTTAGCTAGAGCATTACAAATGCTAATGATGATGAGCAATGCAGAAGCCATTCCAGAGCAATCTGTTTTGGAGGCCAAACCCAGGTCAGAGTAGCAAAACGTAGCATTCAGTGACAGTTGCTTGGTTGCTCTCCCTCTGATTTATCCAGTTAATGTGCTTTTATGAATTATGCAGCTCACTAATTCAGGCTTTGCAACATATACTGGGTACACTGTCATCTCCCTAGAGATAACAGACTAAGAGGGCTATAGCAAATTTGTATTAGACATGTGGGGGGAAAAAAGTGCACAAAAAAGATTATTTAATTTTAAAATTATATAATAGTCAGAAATTTGACATAAGCACAATACAAATCCTTCCGTCTGCTGAAACACACAACTGCTGAAAGGAAATGAAAATGTGTAGAGTGTTACCTCTCCTACAGATTAAGCAATGGCTCTGTACAGCCCTCGCATCTCTTAGAAGCCAAGTTGTTCTGGTTCCAAGGACTTGGGCCTTTCTGGTTCACTTTGGTAGGGGAAAAAAAAAATCACTTTGCTAAAAGCATCTGTGCCCTCCAGAACACTCAGCTCACACATATTAGCCACTACTTCGCTTTGGTGTCTCTTTGCATGTCATACAGCAGGCATCAGTGTACTCAGCAGGGTGAACTGCAGTGGGCACTGCAGAGTACTTGGCAGCACATCAAACAGAGCTTCCTAGGCTTTTATTCTTCCAAGTTACTTGTTTCTGTTAAATACTGAATTTCACATGAGGGCACCTCTGGAAGGAGCAGAGGCTTCTGTATTTTTTTTCCTTAAGAGTAGTAGCTGCCTGTACTACATTGGTCTCACATACATATCTACTGTAATACCTATCTGAGCTCTACATGATTGAAAACAGAAGAAAAACATTCATCTCCATTATGAATATCTTTTCTTTCCATTAAAATCTTCAGTGACGTTAGGTTGGACGGCAAAAAGAAATTTCAAGTCAATCCTGCCTTCAAGGCATTTGTGCCCTGCTACCTAGATGAATGCAGGGGGTACATTACGTGACGGAGTTCTGTACACAATGGTGAGGAAAGTAAAAGGCACCAAAGAATGGAAGTCACCAAACGATGCGGCTGCCGTGACTGAGAGAATGATACGTTGGCCATGCTCCACAGTAAAGTTAGGCCTGAGCTTTATGATCTCTTCTCACAAACCTGAAAGCCTTGAGGAGCTTGTCACCACAGAGCTCAGTTCACAGAGCCTGCGCAAAGAGCAGAGGCAAGCAGAGTTGCACAATGGAAAGAGTCCTGTTTTAGCTACCATGCTTTAATGAAAAAGGGAGCATTATCTCCACTCCTTCCTTACACTAATAAGTTAGCTATCTAAAAGTAGGTTACAGAGATTTGTATCCTAGATTCAAAAATCAGACAAACAAGGGATTTGAATTGCAATGTCCCATAACTCATGAGTTCTCTGACACGACAAAGTGGGAGTGCTTCTTTATCCTGATTCCTGTGCAAGATCTGATCTAAAATGTGAGGGTATCTTAGCATCCCCCCCAAAATGAGAAAAGGACTAGTTCAGACATGTGCCTGCCTCAGAAAAATAGAGTCCCAATTAACGTAAGTCCTAGAAACACCAGCACCTGCAGCACTACCTGGAAGCTCAAAGCTGAAGATCACAATATTGGATTTAAGGGGAAAAAATAACAGAATTCCAATCTGATTCCTAAGCACTATCGTAGAGCTGAGCCTCCATGCTATGCAAAATTGAGTCCACACAGAAAAAAATAAACAGTATTACATTTTACGAATTGGTGGGTGTATGCTTCACTACTAGATAAGGAAAGAAAAAACTTTTAACAGTTAGAAATTATCCATTAACCTGGAATTTTAAATATTAAGAGCCTCAAAACTCACTTTAATCATGTGAAAAATTCTCACCAACTTCAGGGATCTTTGGTTCAAGGACAATGTAACCTGTGGAAAGGAAGAGAAGAAAACAAATGGCATATACTGAAGCTTTGACTTATTTCCCTGTCTTGTTTCTTTAAATATGTTTTGTATATCCAGCAGTTACATTGCTTAGCTAGAGCTTATACTCTCAGCCGACACATTAAGCTACCATTGTTAATATGAATGTCAATAATAGTTTCACAGCAGTGGGGAAATACAGTTTCCTCAGCATTCAGGTGTGGAGGCATATTAAAATGCCTGTTTGGCAATCAGTTAAAATTTTATCTGGAGTCTGCACCTAGGCCCTTCAAGGAAGATTTATACAAGCCTCTTATTATGAACTTTATAGATTATTCTAAAAATGTTCTTTCTCTCATCGAAAACATATTTAAAGCCAAGAGCCTTTAAACTTAGTTCTGTATTCAATTTGCTAATCTCTGAATGTTTTTAGAAAGGTCATTCCTCAAATAAATTACTTAATATGTGTTACATGTATGACAGGAGGAGAAAAGACAACCCCCTCGCTCCCGCTCCCAGGCAGCTGGGTGAAAGGGACCCTGTACTGAGTGGCATCAGTCACCCTGGCATGAGGAAGAACATTCCCTGAATACAGACCATTTCTATATTCTAATATTCTTATGATGATAATAAATCAGTCACAGTTGTGAGTTTTTAATGCAAAGTATAACAGACCTGAACAAACTCATGTTTTCTCCCCCTCCAAAAAAACAAACCCACCATACACAAGTAAGCAATTTAAGCAGGTGGCTGCTCTTTCTGTACTTCAGCTGTACTGATCTAGTTGTACTGCATTACACTGCTTTCTTTAATTTGGAGATTAAGCCAGTTCTTCTCTATTACACAAATCCAAGATCCTCTAGAGACAGACAGACTTTCAGACCACTGCTCTAATTATTCTACTCTGTATATTTTGAAAGCAACTTCCCAGGCACTAGTGTGTACAAGTTACTATTATTAGACAGGAGAGAGAAAGTGAAAGAATAGATTGAAACCGTAAGTAAAGAAAATGTGTAATTTAGGTCATCTACATGATACGATCTCTCTGTGGTTTAGTTCTGCAGTTAACCATGTGGTAGCCTCTGTGCTCAACTTGCAGTGAAGATAAAGAAAGCTTTAATGTAGAAGTATTAAGCTGCCAAACAAATGCAGAATTGATACTGAGGATTGGCAACGAAAGATTATAAAAGACAGTTCTATTCAGGATTCAGGGAATAAACTTCTAGGCATTTTATCCTGCATAAGGCAATACAGAACATCCTGGACCAAGATGCTAGCCCATTTGGCCAGGGTTTCATGTTTCAGAGGTACAGCAGAGCCACATAGCTAGATAACAGAACAGGCAAACTAGTCCAGGAGCTTTCAGCTTATTGTTAAAGAGCATGATAAGAAACAGCTGAATTCTAGGAATCTCATTTGCTGGAATGCCAACTGAGCAATTGAGGCTATTTCAAACCAAATCAGATATTAAACCATCCTGTGAAAAGCAGCCTCTCCCCTCCAAATCCAGCCTAGCGTTTATCTTGTCTCCGAGTAATTATTCACAGTAGCAGAGGACAATAGTAACGATGGACACTGGATTGCTCTCTAACTTATATCATCACACAGTCACAATGTATCAAGACTATATTAATCACATTTTTCCCCTCTACCTTTAAAGGGAGGCCCTATCCAGAATCGAAAATCCAAGCGCTGCCTAGAATTGCAGGAAAACAGCGAAAACGAATTTGGATTTCAGCTCGTCCTTCAGAAATGCACTGGACAGCGCTGGTCTATAACGAATGTGCTGAAAAGCCTGTCATCATAGCAGAATGATTTTTTTTTCTACCCAGTCTTTTTGCTACTGTGTAGCAAATATTGCAATGTTGCCTGCTGTACTGTATTCCCCCTCTTTTCTTTCCTCTTTCCTGTCCCTTTGATTTTCTTCGTGAGTGTGTGGAAGTTGGGTTTGTGGGCTGAAAATAGACATTTTTATTTCACAATGATGTTTTCATGGCATTTAGAGATATGTTGAATGACAGGTTATGGTAAGTGATCCTAAAATATTTTGCAACTGTAAATACAAAACAAATGGAGAATATTTATAACTCAAGCTTTTATTGAATAAAAAATTACAAACACTATTACTGTCTGGCTGTTTCCATGGAAATCAGTTTGAAAATTAAATGAAGGTTTCAGTGTTTTCATAAACCCGAGCCTGATCTTGGCAAGTAGCTGCCAAGCACCAACATTCTCCAGACATACAGTAAAAAAAAAAAATTCCTACCTTTGCTGTGAGGAAAATACATGGGAGGAGACAGCAGCACCATGAGGCTCTGTATGCATTATGCCCAGTGATAGGTGATAGTAGTGCCAGAGCATCAATAACACAGGCTGTAAAGGTTTCATGATCTCAGCTCACACCTTCCGTACATACACGAGTAAATTAGAGTGGCTAGTAAATTTTAATCATGTTCTCTCCTATTAAATGAGTTACAAATGAAATACTATGCTTGCCTGCAATCCATCACTTTCTTGCTCTCCTACCCTTTTTTTCCCCTTCAGAGTCAAAAACACAAAGAATTAAAAATTACAAAGAAGGCAGTCACAAAAAGAGGCTTAGTAGTGTTTATTTTCCATGGTCAGAATGGAGAACACAAAAGGCTGGCCTTTCAACCAAGTGGGCATTAAATGTCGGCATTATATCTGAATGGGCATTATATAGTGGGCATATAAAAGAGGACATTATATATGGATATAGATAAATGAAAACAGATATATGAAAAATCCTAGGTAGAGCATGTATTTCCTGAACAGCACAAGTACTTTAAGTAAAACCTCTTGCAGGATTATGGAGGAAACTCAGCAGAACTAGTTAGAATTTGTCCAGCATAGTTTAAAAAAGAAGTATTAAAGTCGCATCTTAAACATCCATTCCTGTATTTCAGTTTCTCAGTCTTCTATTAGCACTACATTTTCACATATATTTGTAAAGCGTATATGTAAATTATATATGTATATGTGTGTATATTTAAAAAAAAAAAAAAAAAGTGCTCCTGGATGTCAGTGTGCTCCAGAGCTGTTCCCTGGCTCTCTAGCACTTGGGAGAGAATCCCTTCAGCAAAGACCAGCATCAACAAATGTAGACTGACTCAGCCTTTTCTACTCAGCTTTAAGAACGTGCAAATTCAATATGGTATCGTTTCATCTCAGCTCAGGCTGGGGGGAGAGGATGGAATAGTCTGACGAGATAAACCAGGAAGACTACAATTACTAACCTCTTTATTTACAGCAGCTTTGATTTGTATGTAAATTCTCTCTTTTATTATTCTATTTGTTCCTTTTATTCTGTTGTTTGTTACTTTAAAATTTAAATGGCAGTCATATTCTCTTTGGTGCTAGTAATGTGCCAAGCTGCCTTTACAATCACTTTCAGATCCAGCTAGTACCATTTTTATTAATGACTGCTTAATAAGTCATGTGGCACATTAATTTGTATGCGTTCATCCTTCTGCTATATATACTTACCATATGCTGACTGCTCAGAGAAAAAGCTACAGAGCCAACAACAGGAAAACAGTGTGTAACAGCTAATAAAGATGGACTTTACTCCTGCATTCTGACCAACATCAGACATCTCAGGTATTTTGGGGCTGAAAATTCCCATTAAAGTGAGGAAAAAAAACATAAAATAGCCTGATCGTTACGATACCACACCTGGAAAAGATCACACAGTTTTACTTTATAGACAACGTAAGAGGTTGTGCTTTATGAGAATCCATAGCCTTACACTGTGAAGTGTGTACATAGTGCTGACAGGAGAGCGCACAGCACAAGGTACACACAAACTCTCCAAGCAATCTCAGGCTCAGTCACTGATTTTTCACAGACAAGTATCTCCTGGAGACCAGCTGAATCATGGAAACAGTTAGTTCAGCCACAGAAATGCTTGTACAGAATAACGTGACATAAACTAAGACTTCAATTGGCAGCAATAACAAGCCTTCAGTCGTATCATGGAGATGCAGCCATAAGGGACAAAATGGGTTCTCTGTATCAAACCATCCTTCTCTGCTGCTTAGAGGCATACTGCACTCTTAGTAGTCATTTTCTAGGCTTTTTTGAGTACTCTAGTACACTGGAGGAAGACTCCCTGACAGAATGAAAGGAAGGTGCTGAGCTCCAACTTGTTTTTTTCTACACCAAAATGAGTACTGGATGTGCTGTTTGCCCACAGGAGACTGTTGTTCCTGATGGCATCACAGCAGTGTGTTCAGGTTCTCCATTCAATGAAAAGCACTGAAGAGAGCCAGGTAGTCTCACTGAGCTGTGTGTGGTGCTGACCAGCCACACATCCAACTATAAGCCAGTTTCAAGGCTGTTTGCCCCATTGATTCCCATGGAGGCCTGCACTGTTTGCCCTGCACTGTCTGCTTCAGTCCCTCTAAAAACAAACATTACAGGAAACCCCTCAGAGAAGAATGGGCTTAAACTTGCTCCTAGTGTAATGCCAGTAACTACAATGGAATTGCCAAAATATTGAAAAAAAAATCACTTGAAACATTACTTCCTAACTTTCAATTATTATTTGTTAAATATATGTATTATATAGGCTTCTGTTTTGCGCACAGGAAGAAGCTTTTCACATGCCTGGGGAGAAGGTAGCAGCTAGAGTAAAGCAAGCAGCTGACCTGTCATTATCTACCAGATAGTACAGAGCACACAGAAAGGGTAGTGCCAAAATTTCAGGTCATGTGATAACAATATACCAAAATATTGTTTATATCTTTAAAATATATTTGTATTTTATATAAAAAGCATGAGGATGCGTGCAAACACGCATGCTTTACTGGCAGATAATATCCTATTAAAGCACACTTCATCCAACTGTAGGGTTATGCATGGAAGTAGGAGACTGAAGAGCAAGGTTTGGAAAATATGTTATCACCAGGCTCCCCAGAATACCATTAACAACATACTCCAACACTACCTCTACTTTGGGGAGAAAAAAAAGCACAGGATAGGTTCCTCACATTTGCACTTTTGTTGAAGTAACCTTGAAGGTTTTTCAACAAGGTTAAATCAGAATGTGTCAAAACTGGAACTCAAAGTATATAGACCAATACAACACGTCATATTATTAAAGCTTTTAACAGTGGCACTGCTTTTCCATCACCAAGAAAGATGAGTGTTATCGGTTAACCAAACCAGCTAGGTATTCATCAACTTTTCTTGTCTATCTGTTTCAAGAGTACTAAAGAGTCACATCTTTTCCAGAAGGAACATGTTTATTAAAATCTGACCTTCCATTGCTCATTGAGTTACAGCTTATTGATCCCATACTTTCCTTTTGTCTCAATGCAATGTCTGGCACTGTTAGGAGCACTGTAGAAACAACAGGCTGTTACTGATCACAACATGAGTCAGAGGTGCAGGGAAACCAGATTTCAGCAGATTTGCTGGTAAGTCACACATCCCACTTTCCCAAAGACAATTCTCTAATACACAATGTATCACTGGAGATTTAAAAAATGATCTGCTGTGACAGAGTTCAGTAATCACTTATAATCATGGTTGCTAATTCACTCTCTTGATAGCAGGATGGCTGGAAGAAGGCTTCAGCAATTCCCTCTGCTTCCAGGCACAGCCAACAATGCACAAGAAGGGAGTGGAACTGGACAGGGATGGGGGCAAAGACTTAGGGTTACTCTATGGTGCATCTCCCAAGAAGCCTTGGCTGCCAGTAAAGCTTCAGGGGGATCACAAGACAACACCATGCATCTCTGCACTCCAGTTTTACCAACTTATTTTTTTTAGATCACCAAAATAGGAATGTTAGCCTTAACTAAACATGCTTTGCCTTTTGTGCTGAAGGAACATTAGTTTGTGCTTAACAATTATTATTATTCAAGCATTAAATAACAAAAGAATCAAAGTCTACTCAAAATTACAGCCCACTCATGAGCCAAACTGTTCAGCTCAAGACACACTTCGCTTTTTTTAAGCTTGTATGAGAAGCAACTATGTGCATCAGTGTTTTAAAGATCCTAACTTCTTCAGTACATTATTCAGGATTCACTTTTCTGACCATAGCTTTTCCCCTTCTCATGCAATATATGTTCATGGGAAGAACAGGAAAGTTTGTTTACAGTGTAGAACTCACTTGTACCTTCTGAAATATTCAAGAAACTTCAAAGGTTTTAAATGTGTTTCACGAGTGCTAACTTGTGCAGAACTTTGCTTTTGGTTCCCAAAAGCCTGTATGTTGCTGGAGACCTTGCAGAGTTCTTTGATCTAACAGAGAGGTTTCAGTAGTTTACAGCATATGGCAAAAGAAAGACTATGGTGTCATAGCCAATATTTTACCGCCTTTATAAGAAGGGTTGTATTTTACAGCACAATGGTCATGTCTTTGAAGTGGTCTAGAGCTTTCTCATCCATGCAGAGACAGCATATGACTTCAAAGTAAGAGAGCAAACCTGCAAATACTTTTGCTGTAACAAATTTTCTTCCTTGGAGCTCAAAGCCAAAGGAGAAAGCACAACTGTAGATGTTAATGACTTAATATTTGCATCGGTCAAGGGGCAGTTATCCAGTTAAGAATGGAGATGCAGGAGAACAACATAGAAGCAAAGTGGAAGAAGAGGCTGAACAGCCGAACACTTACCTAAGGCTAGCCTATTTTCTGATGAAAAAGACAACACATATTTTAAAACAGACATGTGATAATATTCATATCAACAACTGTTCAGTATCTACAATTCATGCATTTTCCTTCCTGTGTTCCTGTCATCAAATGATGAAGACTTAATACTGAAGCTAGAAACCTATCACACTGCAGCTGTTATCCATAGCTGCTTTTCCACTTTGCTTTTCACAGGCATCAAGTGTTTAATATCACCTGTATTATCCTTGCTTTGGAAAACTGAGCACAAATCCCTCTGGCCATACATCCTCTGTCCCGTTAAAGATGACAGTACTATTACTCTTAGGTTTATAAAGCACCTTTCCCACCTCTCCAGGTGTTCTGGTGTTATAAACACCACAAAAATAATGTAAAACAAAATTTAACAATCGTAAGAGAAAACAACCAGATAATTTACAAATAAAGTAATTGTCCATGTTACACCTGAGATTAAATAAA